GCTTGACAGGCATGGATTTTGTATAGATTCCTTCACCAAAGCAGAATAGTGCACTGCCCTTGAACTTACTGCTGACATTTTATGCCAGATGGTGAACCTTGATCGAATTCTGCAGGTACGGGTAGTTAGACATCGCCTGCACCACAACATATCAAAAGTGCGGGAAGGCCAGGGCAAGGGACAGCTGTCAGACAGCCTGTCTGATGAAAACACCTCCCTGCAATTCTGTGTGCGAAAAGGGTACGATGGGAAACAGTGGAAAATGCCTGGATGATAAATGGGGAGCATCTTTTCATGAACTTCTTAGAGGACGTGCTTTTTGTTATTGACTTTTTGCTGTGGCCCAAACCTCTTAGCATTACATGTGCCCTTTCGTTTGTGATGGGAAGCGCATTTCTCTAGTTTTAGAGACACTGGGGTTGTGTGCTTTCTTTTTACATGCCAATTTCCAAGGAACTGGTGTTGTTCGTTGCTCTATCATACACGCTGCTCTCTGGTGTGCTTTTCCAGTCACACAGTAGGCTGTTGCCCGCGATGTGGGGACAAAGGCCCTGTCAATGTTTGTCGGCCACCAGGATTGTGCCACTTGCATGACATTTTGATTTTCTGCTGAGAGTATAATCTTCAATGTGTTGTTTCATCTAGAACAAGGCGACACTGCAAGGAATGCAGTCAACACAGAATGTAATGGAAGTGGATACAGGCTGAAGGTCTGCTCGTTTGCTCATGCACAGGGGCGCCGAGAAGTGGGTGCCAGAGGAAGGGGTCCCTGAGGCCGCCATGGCTAGTTTCCTTCGGCGCCTCCGGAGGAGCAAAGCGATCCCCATTCCACAAGAAGTCGATCTCATAATGGGTGGTCCGCCATGTCAGGGTGTGAGTAAACAGCCTCTTCGAGTGCGAATCTGTGTAGACGGCATGGGCTAAGACACAGGACGTTGCTGCATTTTCACCTAACAGGAGCTTTCTGATGCCTTCCGGGGGCACAAGCGTTTGCCCTTGACCTCTACTTGATCCGTTCAACACCTTGCTCCTGGGAGACACCACCAGTGACTTGGGGCCTCCCAACAGAACTTTGACGCTTTATGCAACTGTGGGCCCAAGAGAGTAGTTTTCTTTCCCCATTTTACTGCATCCCTTCAAGAGAGCAGTTGCTGCGTCAGTTGCAGAAGAGATCTGCGCCCTTTGCCACCTCACGACAAGACACGATGCCATTAGGGGCTGCAGAAACGCCACAAACAAAGACCACAAGAATTCAAGTTCAGAGAAGCTCAGTTCTCTGTTGGGGTGAAATGTGGAGTGCTGTGGTGGGAAGATAATCTGGAAAATCGCATATCAATACAAAGCAAGCTGTTGCAGTGCTGCGATGATCAGAATAAAGAGGGACAGTTGTTGTCGATGTTTGCAACATGAATGTTGCCGACTATTGCTGTGTACGAAAATCCACCAAAAAAAAAAAAACTGGACGAGAAAGCTAACAGCATGACATCTTGGGTGCAGGTAAGCGGTTTGAACCGGCACGCTGCACGGGAGGACGTCCTGTCTTGTTTCAGGAACCGACAGGTGAAGGCCTTCTTCCAGGCGGTGGACTATTTCAAGCCAGCTTTTGTCTTGATGGAGAATGTACAGGTAGGGCAACATCGCTGTCAACAACAGGTATTGTAACAGGAATCAGACATGGAGCTGGCAGAGGTGAATGCCAGTGGCCATGGTGTCGGTGCAGGTCTTGGATTGATCTGTACAGGGTGATAGAAGTCATGGTTGCTCTCATCCTTGAGCTGTGTGTGTTTCTGGGATGGACGTGGCTTGGGTGCTGACAGCTGTTGAGGGATCGAGGTGTGTGCATACCATATGCTGCACTCTGTGATGCACTGGTGAACCAAATGTGCAAAAATGACTTGTTCTTGTGTTGATCTGTGCACAGCAGAAGGAACATGGGTTTGACTTAGTATTGGGGGGTCGTTTACAAAAATGACACTTGGGAATCCCCCCGACAGGGAATTGCAATTAACTAAACTTGATTTCATTGTCTGACATTGATTGAGAATTGAATTGAAGTTGAAGATTGTTTCACATTGTGTCTTTCCTACTTTCTTTCCAGCTGCTTTGCAACGCATGTTGCAATTTGTTCGTTTTTATTACATTTTCAAGATTTCTCTGGCATTGGCACAATACTTTAGAAGTGCAGTTGTTGGCACCCTGTTGCAGTGCATTGTTGCCCTGTCCATCCTGTTTCCTTCCTATGTCCTTACCTTTTGCCTTTCCGAGTTTCACCTTGTGTATGCATCACTGCCTTCATCTATAATTCTGTAGCTCAGCACAGCCATAGTGAGGCCCTCAGGCAATGTACCTTCGAACTTATATTTGGTTTCATGTTTGGCGTTCATTTATGGTAGTTTGCATACACATTTGTTTGTTCATCTACAATGGGACATTGTGTGTGGGCACTTCCAGATGCTACCCACAATTTAAATTGCAGATTCTCTGTCCAGCATTCATTTGTTCCTCTCCTACGATTCCGGGCATGTAAGATCCTGGCAGCTCATGTACTGCAGGACATTTTCAGGAAGGAAGATGGGGCATATGCGAAGTACGCTACTGCACAGTTGCTGTCTCTCGGTTATCAGTCGAGGATGGGGCTAGTGGCTGCAGGCGACCAGGGCTGTGCACAGGTAATTTGCAATTTTTTCAGGCATATTTGCATGTCTAGCATTGCATGCAGGTGAATTTGATGAGTTGGGTTGCCAACCCATTCACAACTCCACTCATGGAATTCCCAGCTGATTTCCATGTGAAGTAAGTTGGCAGAGGGCTCTTCTTTAGGGGGTGATGTCAGTGCTGTGCACATGTACTCAGCCACAAGTATAGGTTCCACAGCCACAGCTACACTACCACAACTGCTTGTTCATAATGTAATTCACTTCCTTCACCACTACAGAGGAGATGCAAACCATGTTGCTGTTGGAGTTTTTGATGCAAAGAAATTGTATCACTGAATAGAGTCCAAGATCCATTCCTGTCCTTACAGATGTGTGGATTGTGCTACCCAACACGAAGGTTGTAGGCGATTGGAATTGAAAAGATTGTTCTTATGTTATTGATGCTCAGTCTCAATGTAGGGATTTGGGGCAGTCTGTGTTATTTTCTTTGAAATTGTCTGACAGTGCTTGTCAACAATGCACTCTCACAGTGTGGCTTCTGGCTGCCATCCCTCTCGCTATCCTGCTGCTGCTCACTCGTCTTGCATTTAATCTGGCCAGGGACACTTGCTAATTCCTTGCTAGTTGCCACTTTATGGGCGGATGGCTTTGAAAAGAGGCAATGGTACAGATTGCCCATGTCATCTGTTGAGTAAATGGGATCAATCCGTCCATTCTGAACAGTGTTTTGGAAACCAGTATGGATGTTGGCCAAGGTGGCGAAACACTCCTCAAGAGCATACGTTGCGATGGTGGGCATTTCACACAATCGTTGGTTCCCAGAATATGGCATTTGGAACGTTCTTGCAGTGCTGGCTCCCTGTTCGATCAGGGCAGAAAGATTTGTCCTTGTCAGGGCAACATCAGGACTCTGAAGGAACAATCTACGTATGCCGCACATATATTAGTTACCTTGTTACTCAGCATGCCTGATTTCTTGCCAAGTCCTTGAGTTTTGGTTGCCTGTTCGACCAGGGGCGCTGGAGGTGTCTCCTGTGGGGAGCACGAAGTGGAGAGGAGGTGCTCCCACCATTCCCAGAGCCAGCGTTCCGGGTCTTCAACTTTCGAACTGCAGTCACGACTGCAGCAAAGGTACCCCAGCACTGATTCTTGGCACACCCAGCAGTGTTGTATGGGATGCACAGCCAGCAGAAAGAAAATGATTGACCAATGATCAGCACACAGCTGAAAACGACTATGCTGTGCTGATTACCCCATTCTGTGGTTATGTAGTCGTGCGTGGTGGGATTCCTGTCAGAGGCATCCCGAAAGGCGGCACATCCGATGGTGCTCAATGGTGACCTGCTGACCGATTTGCCGCGCGTGACGAACTTCTGCATGGCTGAGAGCCAATCCTATGCGTGAGTTCACAGTCAATGAAGTCCCTTAGTTCTGATGCTATCTGTTGGCCTAATTGCAGCTGTGCTTTCTTTTGGCAACAATACAACTGTCCTTGCTGCTGTTTGCAGCTGTTGCTGTTGAGGACTGTGTGCATGAGTGTTTGCGCACATGGAAACTTGCTGTAGGATGTTGTGCTCCTTGAAAATCGGCTTTGATCATGGGTGTGCTCACATGTCATGGCACTAGTGATGCACTCAAGGGGTGATGTCTGTTGATGTTCACATTCACATGGGGTTTTCAGTCCATATCTCATCACTGGACTGCCCTGAACACTGCCAGTTGATTTGCTCACGGCAATTCTTTGCATTAGTGTGCATTTACGATCAGTTTAATTTTGTTGTTGTTAAGTGAGTTTAAACTTATAAGGATCGTTTTACTAATTCCTTAGATTTCAGTTGCAGGAAAATCTTGACAAACTTGGCCTCTGCGTATGGCAGACGATTGCGATCTTATGTAGCGATTTCATGATATGATGAGCAAAAACAGCCATATGAGCGCAGCTATTGACTTGTGCCCTCCTTTCCAACACCTGTTGTGCATGGCAAAAAGTACTTTTTACCATCCTTGCTCCAAGCCCGCATGGCAAATATTTCAGGCTTGAAAGATGCAAAAGAAATTGAGAGTGTCTGGCATGAACTAACACATATGATGCAGTCATTTTCATTGTTGCTTTGTGCTCCATAGCAGCCACTGCATGCCCACTTTTTTTTAGTATCATCTCAGCTTTGACTGTGGGATCAAACAGCTCGTCCACTTGGAACTGAGTGTGTTGTCGTTTTCCAGCTCAAGGTGCATTCCTGCAGCACTGAGTGGGTGCACTTCCCACAGCGATATGCTTGGATCTGTGAACCCCCCAGAGGCAAGCAGCATGGTCACAGTGCTGTGCCATATTGTGTGCAAGGAATGGTGTTCATTTGCATGATTTCCATGACCACAGATGTGGTTTACAGGCGAGAGCCACAGAAACCCATGCAGGCCTGGCTTCGGAGGGACCCTCCAAAGGGCACACCTTCATGGTCGGAGCGATCGCGCAGCGCTCTTTTGAAAATGAACAAGACCCTGCTTGCCCGGATGGAGATGCTGCGCAGTGCCGGCAACTTGTCGGAATTGGGAAAAGTGGCATTGTGCAAAAAGGGCGAGAACAATTTTGCCGCTGAGGTGAGGCAGCATATTCCGGGCAAGATTGTTGATGTAAACTTACTGCTGAGAGCTGTGAGCAAAACTGTAGGTTTTGCAGTTGGGGCACCTTGAAGCCAAAATTTTCCCTGATAGGTTTATTGCTTCCAGCAAAGATTTTACAGCTCTTGACATAAGGTGTGTTTTTGAAGAGAGATCAGTCGATTGGATAATGCTGACATTTGATGGCTGCTTCCAATTCCCCTTGTCACCATCACCTTATTGAGAACAGTAGATCTTGCATTGATAGGGTGTTGCAGATACAGACCATGAGCATGGAGACGGAGACCCAGTACATGCACACCCTGAACCCCAGTGCCCAACTGTCCAATCCTGACCCGTCTCCATCTCCATCACTGTTTCTGTACTGGGAAAACACCAAAACGCCCAATCGTGACCCATCTCTACCCCCGTTTACGTCACTGTCTCCGTCACCATCTCATCTCTGCCACATCTTCGTGCTCGAAGTCTTTATCTGCAACAGTCTGACTCCTGCTGTGGTAACCAGATGAGTGCTCTGTCTCATGTCCTTGGAAATTAGCCTTGCAAACAAACCACAAGTTGAAAACTAATGAGAATAAATTAAAGTATCACAAGAAGTGTTAAAAATGACAGAAATGATGAAAACTGCTTATCATCGAAAATACCCGATCGCTTCTGAGATGAGCTGCCTGCCATCCTGCTATGCACATGTTTTGAGCAGGAATTGACTGGTTCAAGTGCAATGACATACGACAGCCAGAATGCCATAGCATTGTTCAGGTGGACACAAGACGGGCTGAACGACCGGGATAGGGGTTGTGTTCACTGTCCCCAGGCTGCCAGCCTTGTGGAGGCCATGTTCCCTCTTCGACTTGAAGTGGGCTGCCCCAGCCAGGGCCTTTTGCCTTTGCTTCTAGCAGCCATTGAATTGATTGAACTACAGTATCAGAGGCATATCAGCTCTGGCAGTCAGTTATAAATGATGGCGTTTCTTCTTGTACTGCTAAACAACATCTTTTCCCAAAGTGAGTACACTACTACCAGAGTTGTAGCCTCGTTGCAGCTGCTCTTCCTGTCTTTTTTGGGGGGCTTTGTGGATGTTGTATGAGCAGTTTGTCACTGGGTGCAGATCCGCAAAGCAGCTATCGAGGAGATAAAAGATCGAAAAGAGAGGGAGGCATTTGCTGCTGATCTGGAGGCCAACCGTCGCAAGTTCACAAGGCAGTTGGGCAAACAGGTGATTATCACTAAGGCTACAGTGCTGCAAGAGAGCAGCAGTCTTGTTGTCAGTGCGACTGCTATCAGAGGCTGACAGCATGGAAAGATGTGGTGGTTGCAGACGGTGTCAGTCACAAATTGCAAAAACCAAGTGAATAACCTTGTTACTGCGATGTTAAACAGCCATTGTTCAAATTTACAAGAGAGTACTGGAACAGCGCAGTGATGCCCTGTATTATGGCACGATTCTTATCTTGTAGACTGCCAGGCTGCTGTGGCAAGGGGATCTTGGTGAACTGGTCAAAGCCTACCCTCCCCATGGGATAGACATTTGATATGAGTGCCACCTATTGAATGCTTTGCTTCAAGTCATTGCTTCACCTCAAGTAGTTAGCACACAATGCTGTCCGAAAACATTGATATCTGCCTCCATGTTACAAGAGCTCCTTTTTTTTCCGCAAGCATATATTTTGGCTGGATATTTCTTTTGTTTTATTGTCATATAATTGTGATTATGATTGCGTAGAGGCATGTCCAACCCCTGCACTTCTCGAAACTGAACCTGCTCATTCCACTATTGACTTGTAAGGGGATGAATGGTGATGTGTGCATCCATTGCCCAAACATCCCAAAGTACTCTCCAGAGCCTGGACCTGCAGAAGGGTAAAGGTCCTTGCAAGCCAACACTGTGTCCTTGTTGTTTCTATTTTCAAATATTGCATTTTTGAATCAAATAAGCTCATGCCGTGTTGTTCACCTTGACATGTTAATGGCTGACTAATGGAAGCGCTGAACGTGTGTTTCCCCCATGCTCAATAGATTAAGGATGAGATGAGAAAGGCAGAGGGGTCGTCTGGCCTGTTGCACGATCACATTCCACTGACCTGCAATGCGGATGACTTTCTTCGCATGTGCGGTGTTCCCAAGGAACCGGGAGCAAACTTCAGGCAGATGGAGGGTGTGGTCACACATTCCGATGGTAAGCACAAATTGCCGAGAGTGCATGAGCACTTCCCTCAGCACCACATCCCCCCTTGCTGGGAGTTCTTGACAAGATCTGGGTATGCTGTTGTACAACATTTCTAAAGGATATCTTGATATTCAGAGACTTCTCGTGCTTTTCAGATTTTTCAGAAGCCCCCAAGTGCAGCAGGAAAGAACGTGACGGTGAATTCAGACATCAAGCACTGATTGGCTTGGCGGTTTTTGCCACTGCATGACCGTTGTGGGAATATCAAGGCACCATGTAAGGCTGCAGTAGTGCCGTACTGCATTGCTCTTGTATTGCTGTGCTGCTGTATGGCAGGCCATGCAGCCAGTCTGCCAGTCCATTGGGCGATCAGCAAGACTTACGCAGCCCAACATGTCTGTTCAGTTAAAATTTGGCATCGAGTTGCAGAGTTCAGTATTCCATGATAAAGTATATGGCTGCTCAGGCACGTGCTGTGCGGGCCACACCCATGCATACCGCCGAAATGGCCGCTCCGCCTGCCCTGGTGGCGGCACCTTGGAGAAGCCAAGGAGCACCACTTCCAAAGAGGGCCGTGTGGACATCACAGACAAAGGAGGCTGGAGAGGCACGAAGTTAGAGGGATGTGATTCAAAGACGGTGCTGCTGCCAAGTGGAGACCTGCTTTGCCCCAGGTGTGAGGAGCAAAGTAGAGCAATGTGTTTGCACATGGGTACTCTGTGGGCACTGCCAAGATTAGTCTCGTCGATGTACCTGAGGATATTTGTTGCTGATGCTAATATAGTGAAATGCGAAAATCGACTACTGATCAGTCAACTATTGAATACAGATGACAGCCCAAAATGGTGATTCTAAGCGATGCCAGATAAAGTTGGACGTGATGGAAAATACAGGGAAACCTGCATCAGATCTTCAATTCCACATATTTTCATTTGTGGTCATTTGTAGTTTGCCTCCAAACCATGGTTTGGCCCCTTTGCCTGTGCACAGTGTTGGTGGTTTCTTGTGCACTGTCCAGCTGAATGGGACTGACATTAACTCAGGTTCATTGCCTTCTGTATCCAGCACCATAGTGTCAAGGCACATGTCGCTCACTGGGCCCATCAGTGTATCACACTGGACACCCCTGTGCCCAGGGTGCCTGGTCCCAGGGTGTCTGGGCCCTCACTTTTATCAGCTCCCAGCCCCCCACCCACCCACCTCCACACCCCTCTTTTCAGTCAGATGAGCAAGAAAAGGGAAGCAAACTGCGAGATATGCTTTGAGAGCCATTCTGAGTGTTGATCTGAATCAAAGGTTAGGACACCGTCAACTTGACTGAATTGTTGGGTATTCTTTTGTAATGCTTATGTTTTGCAGTTTATATACTTCCATATTCGCAGTATTGTTTATTCAACCTAGAAGTGTCCATATTCACACGAACACGCAGTCAAACCTTTCGAGCCTCGAATCTGTTTCGGGCTGATGCGTGTTTCCTGTTGTTCAGGTGGTGCATAACCTACAAGGGTGGCAAGTCTGATGGCCGGCATGGGTGTTTTGGCCGCGTAGACCTGTTTGGCATTCAGCCCACAGTGGTGACTCGTGCCGAGCCACACAACTTGCAGATAGTGCATCCCAACGAGGACAGGGTGTTGTCCATCAGGGAGATGGCTAGGTGCCAGGTGTGTTAGCCAGCATTCCGGATGGCTTTCAAATGGCTTCCTGATGGTGTCTGTAAGGCTGTCAGATGGTTTGCGGACAGCTTCCAACAGGATTCCAGAAATGTCCTCTTTGAAGACAGTATGGTAGTGTGTAAATTGCACAAGGTGATCTGGCTCCTTTGTGGTATTCTGCTGCGATCGTTTGTTCCTAACCGCTGCATGACATTTTTAGGAGGTGCCAGCACGTCCGCATAATTTACTGCTATGTGCACAAGCAAACGATTGGCTTGTTTGCATTCATCAGCTCAAGCCTAAGTACTGTGAGATTGCAAAATGTCACCAATTTCTGCAGCACACTGCAGTCATCTGTACTGTCCGGACAGAACCTGTTTGTGCTTGATGCTTGCTGTTTCAACACAGTTCTGTATGGTGACTGCAGCTTGAAGCCTTTCCGGTTAGTCAAATTTATGTCGACCAACGTCAACACCTGACTCGTCAGCTTGCAACAACTGCAGAGTCTTGCTGCCTAGTGTGCCCCAGGCTCGCCCAGAACCCCCACCAATTTGTTGTGCACTGAATGAAATAACGTGCTGCTGGAGTACCTGAACATGATATAAGTCAATTTGGCTGGTCTTTGATGGTCGTCTTTGGGTGGCATGCTTTGCAGGGCTTTCCAGACTATTACACTCTTGTGGGCACTCACGGTTCCAACTCCAAGCTCAAGAGCCTGTCCCGGCCCGAATACATAGAGTCCAGATACTGTCAGATCGGAAATGCAGTGGCGCCTCCAGTGGCTGCAGCCATGGGTGGGTCTGTGCACTTCCCATCCTTGTGGAGTATCGAACTGATAGCAGCTGTCCTGCTTGGGCAACGCACCATTTCTGGACATATCTTGGTTTCATGCCATTTTCGACCACAGAATTCATCGATTTGTTTGGTCCATTGACAGTGTGTACATTGGTGACGTCATATTGGCATGGTGACACTCGCTCCCTGTGTGCCATTCTCCCACAGGTCGCTGTTTGACCCTTGCGGCAAGCGGAGAAGCTGACCCGATGCGTCCTGTGGTGGCGGTGCCTGATCAAGAGATGGAAAAGGTGATGCCCAGAGGAGGCACGTTGTACTGTGCAATGGAGCCAGTGCAGTGCGATGCCAGAATGCTTTGTGTTGGCTGCATTTAAGCAGTTCATCCATCGCATGTTGTCAAGCACTTGTCACGATGAACCCTTCCAATCTTTGAGGTGTTGGTGCCTTTTTGGTTGATGAGGCTTGCATAGTGGCATGTTTGTAATTGGCACAGGGCTGTGAGCATGGACCACAGTTGCGCAAGCACCAAGCTGAGTTGCATTTACAGAAAAAATTTTCAGGATCACAGCAACAAAGCACTGTTAAGTACACATGAAAACTATAATTAATGACAAGTTGAAAATGGGAAGAATTAAAGAGATCAACAGGAAACCATCAAATGAATTTGGAAACAGCTGCCAATGAACAGCAACAAATTTTAAACCAATAGTGTTGCAAACCAGCTGCAGTGTGTTGATTTGAATGTGTTCGGGAATTTGGATGTTGTCCCAAGTTCACCAGCATCGCCTAATATGGGAGCGATCTGTTGTATGCTGATAAATGCTGTTGTGACAACACACATGTCATTTCCGTCCTCTTATCACGTTCAATCACCAGGGCACCAGAGGTACTGCTATGAAGGGAATGCCATGTGCCAGTGCCTTGTGACATTTATTTTCCAACACTTTTAAATTCGCATCGCTTCTCTTTGCTTCCCTTTGCATCGCATCGTTTCGCTTCAGGGGTTTATTCTTCCGCATTCTGCGGGACGAACATGGCCCATTTGTTATCACAGCACAGCATGCGTTTTAGATGCTGCCATACCAGATGAATTGCTCACCTGGTGTTCATTTGACAGCATCCTCTTTCTTGTCCATCTTGTCATTGCATTGGTTCCCAAGGGGCAAATAACAGGCTGCCGAAGGTGCTACCTCCAAACGAACTTCTAATCAGTGCACAAGGTCAAATGAGTAGGTCCGCTGCTACCCCTGCTGCCATCCCAATGTCATCAAACTTGAAATTCACACAGTGTGCATCTGCCCCATGGGGTCTCCAACAAAACTTGGGCACCAAGTCATCCACGTTCACGCAGTATTCCATTCAGTTTGACCTGGCTTGTGGTGCTTGGGGCCACTGATGGAAACTGAGGGCTCACTTCGCCCTTACACTGCTTTGTAGCTGTTGTGTTTTCGATGCACTGCTGAACCAAACAAGCAACACATTACTTTGTGTTTTTCAATGTGGAACAATAGCAATGTCACCTCAGTTGCTGTACTTGGTGTGGGCTCGCACAGGTACTACGGCAGGCAATAGACAACGGACTTACCTTCTATGCCACGGAGATGGGAGAGGAAGGAGAGGCGATGGAGCTGGGTGACAGTGCTGAAGAGGACAACGATCTGGAGCAAGACGACCTGGACTGAGGCTCTTGAGGTACAGGCAACAATGGGCACCTTTTTTGTAAGTGAGTGGGCATTTGGCACCATGGGCGCCACCTCCTGAACATGAGAGCAACATTGATGTGCCTGACTATCAGGCTACCATTGTGCCTAGCCACACTGTTTGAAGCATGCATGGATGCATGGCAGTTCCTCGATTTTTTGGCACAACATTGAGGGAGCATAGCCAGTCACTGTCAGGCATTGATGGCAGATGCGGTGTGGTAGGGCACTTGGGCTGGTTGGTTCTGCAGGTGTGATATCACATTGGCCCACATATTCGATGTTCAGTTTGTCGTTATCTGTGAGGATGATGGGGGTCATGGGCATGGGGATTGACAAGAACAGGGCAGCTCCCTTGGGTGGGTGCGTCAGATGGCCATTGGCAGCGCCTTTGATGGATGCTGGCTACTTCCCTGGGGTTGAATTTCTGTAGTGCTCTCCTGCAACAATTGTAGGGGGGGATTCTCGTGGTTACATGCTGTCAAGAGTGCATGAACTCACAACAAGGGATAACCAAAGACCGATGGGTGTGAAAGCAGCATTAGGCAGTTTTGGGGGTCAGAAGGACTGTGGAGGATATAGATTTTAGGCCCCTGACGAAGGGTCCATGCAGATGTACAACCTGGGAACCCTTGATTTGGCTGTCAAGGATACTAATAGGACATTTGACTTGCTCTTATGCCTGGCTGGATGGTTGCATGCCATGCCGTCTGCAGACTTGCAGGCCCTTAGTCTGATGAGCCTGGAATTCTCTGGGTCGCGATCCATACCCAACCAACAATGCAGCTTATGACGATAGGAACAAGGGCTGCAGAAGGCAAATGTGCAAATTCCTAAAGTGCAGTTGCCCAAAAGCGACAATATACAATCCTTATACCAAGGCAGTGTCAGGCACATACCCACACTGTCCAAAATGCCGTTGTCAATTGCAAAGGCTTACATTAGGAGTGGAGAAGCACAGGCGGAAATGGTTGCCTTGCGTTGTAAGCGATCTGCGCTAAACTGAATCGTTCGAGTGTGGTCAGCGTTGCAGGCACCATTGCTGCTGGCAAAACTGTGAGATGGTATACAACATTAATCTTGTACCATGTGTTGAACGAAGCGAATCTGACTTTTGCTTTCTGGAACTTTGCTATGGATTGACAATCGCTAGGACACCACAGTGATTGTGAGGGGCTTGAAATTTTGCTGCGATGGCGTTGTTGGCCACGCTCGCGCCACGTGGTGATAGAGTTGCCTGGAAGCATGTGCTGCGAGGCATGATTTGTGTGTCCATGTCTTGTTTAGTTCCAAAGCATCGCATCACATTAAAGAGTCCAGTTTAGTCCATTTTGATAAGAACACGCCGTGCATCAATTCTTGTATGATCTGTTGCTGATGGGGCTCACTGGCAGGATGCCAACTTCAGAGTTGCGCTCGGCAAGGCCACGAGCGCCGCAACACGAAACGAGCTCTGTACACGGCAGTGCTCATCATAGCCTTTCAGTTGCAAAGACACTGTTCTAGTGCAGCGCAAGCAAATGCATTTCAATGGAATATTGGCTGGTCCCTTCGAGCGTGTCGATTTCGGTGTGCGAGATACTAAGATGAGGCGATCCTATTACATGTGATACACTGCGCATGCAAGTCATGCAGGTTCTCTGTGCCTGAGAAAGCCTGCAGTGCTGATTCCAACATTCTAACGTGATGCCAAGCGGCATAGCAGTAACTGCAGAGGAGTAGGGTGTGCTGAACGTCAAAGTTGGGCCTTTGTCTTTTGGCGTTTCCTGCGAGCTGCAAGGGCTTCATCATGGTAATATGACGGAACATAATCCAAGAAACTGGATTCCCCCGACTTTGCATTGACGCTCAGTGCCCAGTGCCGAAACTGTGAAGACCTTGTGTTAAACATCCCATTAGTCACTTAGTCCTGGTACGTCATAACGGACTTGTGACTAACCCTGGAATGTAAGAGTGGTGAGTCGCACTTGCCGAGCTGCGTTTAATGCCATGTCAAATTGCGTTAAAGGATGCTTGACAGGAACAGGTCTGCTCACAATACGGATGCGTGCAGCTGAGAGGAAGGATATTGTGAGGCTTCCTAGGAAAGATGGCGAGAAGACTCGTGACTGATGGTCAAGGGAGCGCTGAGGGTCCTGCCTGGTCTTCTGCATGATTGGCGGAGTTGCATGTTTGCTGATGCGCTCAAAGGATTCCCATGAAATGGCGTTGGACTGGAAAGGCAGTTGACACATATGGGACAGGAGTTCAATGCATATGGTGCTGATGAGGAGAGCGGTGACGAACTCAAGGGCGTTGTACGTACTAAACATGTATAAATTGCGGATAAACTTGCCCTGATGACCAAGCAGGATGAACTTAGGAACATGCGTGTTTTGTGACAAAGAAGCACTGTGACCATACAAGGTTCATGGGAGTTGGAGGCGATCTGCCCGAACTGCTAAAACGTGCGCCTAAGGAAAGGAGCTGTCACAGCTATGGCAAGACCTGCCAGCATACTTGAGTGTCCGACATGTTAGGCTATCAAGACTGAAGAATGACCTGTAAAACGCTAATGAAACGGATCGGTTGGCCAGTCAACTGTGGCCTGTTAAAGTTGGCCATTTCCAGGCCATAAATGACATGGCAAATGTCTCCATCAACTTCATTTTCCCAGCATCTACCGGCAATATTGCCAGCAGCATCGACTGACCACCATTAGTTACATCCTCAAAAGCATATTACATCTGAAGACAGCGGCAGCATGAGAAGCGCTCAAGAAGCTACAATCCGACCAGAACTGTACAAGATCAAGCCGCTCAGCAATCAGAATTCCGGAACCAGTTCCAATGAACAGTTTCACTACCCTTCATGACCAACTACGCATCCACATGCAAGGTCCCGTCCGACTTTGACGCCCAGCATGGGATAACGACATCCTCTCACACACCCACAAGCCGTCAAGCGACCAGTCCGACATCCAAACACCGTCCAAGACCCCAAAACGGCAAAAGCGCACAGCAGCGCTTCCCTGCATTCTGACCATCCTGCACCGCGAGCCCTGCCTCCCAGTCTCACTGCCCAGCAGCTGGTTGGCGGTTTCCCGGCAGCCATGACGGCGACGCGATTCCGCCAGGTCGAAAGCTGGCGCTTTTTGATCGCCCAGTGGCTCGCCTTCGGCGACCTCTGGCTCTCGAGATGGTACCTCGAGAAGTCTGACTGCCCTTCAGGCTACTGGTGTTTTGGGCTTACGGTAGTCTTACCGTTCAGCGACGAGGACGCGCCGTGGCTACATCACCAGCGAGATCATGGGGAAGACTCTCTGAGGTATCGGCTGCAAGAGGAGGCGCGCGAGGCGTACTGCCGCACCGTGTCAACGCAATTGACATCAGGACATCTGCCTGGACCTGGGGAAAAGCCGGACTGGAATCCTGACTACAAGCCCGAGGCCGTGTACCGCCCCTGGGCACTCCAAGTGTATCCCCATCCGCATCGGCCGTACACCGGCATGGGTACGCAGGCGTTCCGGCAACGCATCGCGGCGATGATTGAGCGTGAAGGTGGACGGATCCAGGCCTGGCGCGGTGTGGAGATCAATTTTTACTATCGCCAGGTACATATGAGCCTTGACATCAGTGTACCGCACTCCGATGAGCGCTGCTGGCGCATGGAGGGTGGAGGCGTCACCCGCCGTGAGTACGCGGCCACGCATCCGTCCAGCGCGTCTGAAGTATTCGTCCGTGATTGGAAGGAGTTCGGTGTGCAAACGGAACCCAATGCGGCCGTACTGCCCTCCGCCGCCTTCGCGGAAGCCAGCACGCTCGTGGCTCGACGCCTCAATGCGGGCAAGCCGCCGTACACGGCCGTGGAGTTGCGCGCGGAGGAGCGGGCCTGGCGGAGGGCCATCCGACGTCAGCGACGCGAGGCGAGGCGACAGGGGCAGGTCCACGATGACGTCATGGAAGAAGCGCCCGCTGGTGGACCACCCGCTGTACCGGCAACCCTCGGCACGACCGCGATGACGACACCAACCCTGCCACCCGGTTTTGATGGGACACGCAGCGAGGACGTGGTGACGCCATCACTCCCGCCGGGATTCGGCGGTTGATAGGCGCGGATTACGGGAAGAGGGGAGACAAGCTGGCAGTCGTGACGTGACGGTGTCCGGGCTGGCGGATGACGAGACGGAGGGTAGCCACCGGAAGCCAGCTGGCGAGGATGGAGTTGTCCGAGGATTTCCTTGGCGGAGAATGATCTCTGGGGTGTCCTGGCTGGCGTGTGACCGGACGGGACGGATTGTACCGGAAACTTGCTGTGATTGGGTCGTGTCGTGTCCAGTTGGATGAGTGAACGGGGAGGCATGACGAGAAGGAGTGAACGCATGGTTGCCGGTTGTACCCGAAAGACAGTTTTGTAATAAATAGCCGCAGGGAGTCTGTCCTGACAGCTCTCCGGCAGGCCCCTGTGTGGCAAAGTGTGTCCCAGCCGCCTGTACCTCCCCACCGTCGCACCACAGCCCCCCGCCAGGCTCGGCCACCGCTGGCCTTGCCCCCTCACGTTACCCGAGAGTACGTGAGCCGGCCTAAGGAGCCTCGGGGCCCTGTGGTGTACCGCGCACTCACGCCGAGTGCTGGTGGGACGTTTGTGGGATCCGGAGTGACTGAGGGCGGCGCATTACGCAAGGCGGGCGCCGTCGCTGGTGCTGGAGTGCCGTAGCACCCTACGGGAGTGCGGATCGGCCGGTACGCGCAACGAGTGGACGCGGGGAGGACGTTGCGTCGTACGGAACTGGTGGAGGCCTCTGCGGTGAGGTGCGCGATGACTATGAGCTTTCCGGGATCGCCCATGGAAGGGGCTGCCGTCATGGCGGCGTTGGCTGGCGCTGTCGGACGAGGTGTGAGGTTCCTGGGCGCTGGCATCCAGTGGATTGGGGAATTCTTGGTGACCCTACTCGGGTGGCTGGCCTGGATGCTGAATATTGATGAAACGAAGACGAATTCCAT